GTCAGCCTATGAACCTTTCAGCCTACTCTCAAACCTGGAAAAAAACAATTCAGAAATTAATAAGAAGAGTTGGAATTAATGCATGCAAGATTTCACAGCTCTAGCATCACACCTTCATAGTCAGCCTATGAACCTTTCAGCCTACTCTCAAACCTGGAAAAAAACAATTCAGAAATAATTAAGAAGAGTTGGAATTAATGCATGCATGATTTTACAGCTCTAGCATCACACCTTCATAGTCAGCCTATGAACCTTTCAGCCTACTCTCAAACCTGGAAAAAACAATTCAGAAATTAATAAGAAGAGTTGGAATTAATGCATGCAAGATTTCACAGCTCTAGCATCACACCTTCATAGTCAGCCTATGAACCTTTCAGCCTACTCTCAAACCTGGAAAAAACAATTCAGAAATTAATAAGAAGAGTTGAAATGAATGCATGCAAGATTTCACAGCTCTAGCATCACACCTTCATAGTCAGCCTATGAACCTTTCAGCCTACTCTCAAACCTGGAAAAACAATTCAGAAATTAATAAGAAGAGTTGGAATTAATGCATGCAAGATTTCACAGCTCTAGCATCACACCTTCATAGTCAGCCTATGAACCTTTCAGCCTACTCTCAAACCTGGAAAAAAACAATTCAGAAATTAATAAGAAGAGTTGGAATTAATGCATGCAAGATTTCACAGCTCTAGCATCACACCTTCATAGTCAGCCTATGAACCTTTCAGCCTACTCTCAAACCTGGAAAAAAACAATTCAGAAATTAATAAGAAGAGTTGAAATGAATGCATGCAAGATTTCACAGCTCTAGCATCACACCTTCATAGTCAGCCTATGAACCTTTCAGCCTACTCTCAAACCTGGAAAAAAACAATTCAGAAATTAATAAGAAGAGTTGGAATTAATGCATGCAAGATTTCACAGCTCTAGCATCACACCTTCATAGTCAGCCTATGAACCTTTCAGCCTACTCTCAAACCTGGAAAAAAACAATTCAGAAATTAATAAGAAGAGTTGGAATTAATGCATGCATGATTTTACAGCTCTAGCATCACACCTTCATAGTCAGCCTATGAACCTTTCAGCCTACTCTCAAACCTGGAAAAAAACAATTCAGAAATTAATAAGAAGAGTTGAAATGAATGCATGCAAGATTTCACAGCTCTAGCATCACACCTTCATAGTCAGCCTATGAACCTTTCAGCCTACTCTCAAACCTGGAAAAAAACAATTCAGAAATTAATAAGAAGAGTTGAAATGAATGCATGCAAGATTTCACAGCTCTAGCATCACACCTTCATAGTCAACCTATGAACCTTTCAGCCTACTCTCAAACCTGGAAATAATCAAACCAGATTTCACAGGTCTAGTATCACTCCTTCAGTCAGCTTATGAAGTTTAAAGTTTTGTCTGGCTCAGAAACAACACTACTATATGCATCACACAATTATACCTTAAAAGACAACTGTTGAAAGAAATTAACAACACCTTGAAAATGGGTGAAAGCACTTGGGACAATTATAACACTCCCTTACCCCCACCAAACAGAAAAATTTAAGAACACTAGAAAAATTTAATAAAAGATTGATCAAATTTCCCTTGTCTGTTTTATTCAATGAAACATGTTTGAAAGAAAGGTTGCTTCCCAAATATACATTTTATATATATATATATATATATATATTTATTTTTTGTCATCCACAGACAGATTGTTTCACTGTATCACAACTCATCAGTGTGGCTAGACATCCGATTGCTTCAAGCTGGGATCGAAACCCACCTGATTCAGTAACAGTCGGAGATTTTCCCCCAAGCCATTGGAAAGGTGAATTTTTCCCTATTCTGTGAATAAACATGGCAATAACTGACAGTGCTCAATTCAGGAAGAGCTTGTAATATTAGTAGTATTAGTCATTGTTTACAAATTTGCACTTAACTACGAAGAGTGCACAACTGAATTTAAGTTTTTCAAGTGCGTATATATTGTCATCTACAGACAGACTATATCCGATAGTTTGAATTTCGATAAGTTCACTATTAGGTTTTTTCTGCCAACCTTGGACCATTTGCTATTGTGAATCAGTATAATGAGTTTGTTTTGCAAAACCCAGATATGCTTCTTGTTATAGTTGATCAAGCTTCTTATTTCATTCTGTTTGTGTTTATATAGATAACTTCCTGTGATATATGGTTTGTTAAAGCTATTCTTTTCCACAAAGCATATATGACAGGAGGTTACCTCATAAACATGAACGGAATGAAATAAGAAGCTTGATCAACTATGAAAACAAGAAGCATATCTATGTTTTGCAAAACAAACTCACTATACTGATTCGGAATAGTATATGGTCCAAGGTTGGCTGAAAAGACCTAACATAATAAATAATAATTTAAGGTTCAGATCATTGACTATTAGACTGATAATGTCAATTTGGGTTAGAAAGATTATGTTTAAACTGGGAACTCAGACATCAAAACAAGCTCACCTAAATGCATGGATGAAAAGACCCACTGGGACAAGCAGAGTTACTTAGGTTGCTTGGGGTGCACCAGTATATATATATATATATATATATATATATATATATATATATATATATATATATATAATATGATTTATTTAAAATATGTTTTTTTACCGTCACGAAAAATTCACTTGAGGATGAAATGGAACTAATGTCTTTAATTTAATCACAAAATTAAATTCATAGCTTTTAGCTTCCATTTTTGAAACATGGTTAGAACTGTGTAGGGAAAAAAACCGTATTTTAAATAAATCAATTTATAATATTAATGCTCTGCAAATTTACATTGAGCACTATTTTGTAAAAATAAAAATATCTATAAGAACACCAGATTATATATCTTACTGTTCTTTCTTTTTATTTATATATGCATATAAGAGGAATTTTTTTGTATGGATGCAATGGTTCATAACTTTGGATCTGTCATTCAAAAGGTTTTTTGAATTTGGAAATGCCATTATTGCTAACCTTTCTTGTTGGCAGAGGTAGAAGATGTTATTATAGTTGTTGTAGGGTTTTGCTTTTTTTATTAAACTTTCCAGTTTATAGTTGGATCTTTGTTGTTTTTTCTTTTAATTTCCACACATTTTTGTGTAAACAAAAATTTATATAACTTAATAAAATTATGTATGTTTATTCTTAATTTAATAGAAATAATTATGAACCTGAAATATTTGTGCATTAGCTTCCAAAAATATCACATAGAAAAAAAAAGTTAAAAAGCTTTTAAAATTAAGAAAATTTTTAAAATATGCAGGTATTTGTGAACATTTTCAAACTTTAGTAAATAGCAGCTAATTAACTTAGCCTAAGGTCAATAACTCAGGGATCAATTAGACACTGTATTGATATAAACAAAACCTCCACTTCTAAATCAACAACAAATCAATATTTTTAGATTCTGACAAATTTTGTGACCCAAGTGAAGTCTAAAGAATGTTAATCTACAAAAAAAATGTTTGCTATTTTTTGTGGACTTAAGTAGTTCCAAATCATTATTAGAAAGTTCATTCTTCGAAAAAACTGTGTATCTTAGATTCTTTTTCCCCTCTATTCACTTACTATTTGTTGAATATATTCCTTAATATCATATCTTTCATCATTTCTATATCTATCTATATCTACAGTGTAACCCAGATATAAGAGAGTTGTCGGGACCGGAGAAGAAGTCTCTTATATCCGGGTTTGGTCTATTTTATATACATTAACACAGGCTCTAATTTGGGACCAGAGAAAATATCTCTTATATCCGGGTTACACTGTATATATATATATATATATATATATATATATATATATATATATATATATATATATATGTGAAAAGTGTATATAAATATAAATAAATATATATATGTATAATTATTTATATATTATATGCACGGTACTTATTAGAAAGCGCTCAATATCAGAGATAGAGCTAACATATTTGGTTGGATAGATGTGAGTTTGTGACCCTGGGTTTCACGCTTAGCGATCATCGCTAAAGCGTGAAACCCAGGGTCACAAACTCACATCTATCCAACCAAATATATATATATATATATATATATATATATATTTGAGAGATTATAATAAAAACATGTTGAAATTGCTACACAAAAGCTTTCATATTTCAATGCTTTGTGGATTTGTTTTAGTGTATTCAATATGAAGAATAAAAAATGTAATAGCAAATCCATATAACCAAAAAATGCGGTTTCTCTCTTTTTTAATCTATATAACATCAAATGCCATTTTTAGTGGATACCTGTATTTGAGTAGACGCTCTGTTTTTATAAACAACATTTACTTCGTCTACTGGCCTGCACACTAGAGCAAATTTAAGCCCCCTGCTAAGTTTTCTTGAGTACAGGCTGATAGACCGAAATACTGTTTAAAAAAAATAAAAAGGAGTGTCCACTAAAATTTGATTGAAATTAGTAATGTTGGATTAAAAATAAAATCTTTAGAAATATAACCCAATGAATTACTCTGCAAAAACATTTCGATATTCATTTGATTAAATTGTGACGTGAGTAAGGGCAAAAACTTTTCAGCGCACACTTCTTTATTTAAAAAGCTAACTTTCGCGGCAAATGCCTGTGTGTAAATTTGACTTACATTTCTGTGTGACGTCAACAAATATGCAGCAGTATAAAATCGGCACTAGTTAAATTTTATTATAGTTTTTATTGAAGATATAATTATTAACATTCCTGAAATACTAAATTTTTAAATTAAAAAATATATATTATTAATTATTATATTATTTTCTCTGTTGTATGTGGCCACTTCCGGCCCGGCGTAACGGTGAAATCGTGAAGCTTGCTGGGAAGGGACTAAACTATTTCCTTTTCTAGTTCAGCCACCATTTTGTGCTGACGTACACGTTGGTCTGTCCGACCAAATAATTGAAAGAGTGTCGTTTAATAGACACCAATTAAAATAATTTAGATATCTAGGTGTGACTAAAAGCGCCCAGAATAAAAAATGACCAACACCAAAGGTTACCGTCGTGGTACTCGCCACATGTTCGCCCGCCCTTTCCGTAAGCATGGAACAATCCCTCTCTCTACTTACATGAAAGTCTACAAAAGGGGACAGATTGTCGATGTGAAAGGCAACGGTGCTGTCCAGAAAGGTATGCCCCACAAGTCCTATCACGGACGTACGGGTCGAGTGTACAACGTTAGCCAACACGCCGTCGGTGTGATCATAAACAAAAGAGTCAAACATCGGATCATCCCCAAAAGAATTAATCTCAGAATTGAACACGTGAAGCCTTCCAAGTGCCAGGAAGATTTCTTCAAGCGGATAGCTGAATGCCAGAAACTGAAAGCCGAAGCTAAAGCCAAAGGCATCCGTGTTTCTCTCAAGAGAAAACCAGAAGGACCCAAGAAGAAGCACTTCGTCAATATCACCAAAAATAAGCCAATCGTACTGGAACCAATCCCATACGAATTTGTCGCATAAATCTGGTGGAAAAATTTTTTTTTTCTCTTTACGCTTGTAAAGGTGATTGGGGAAAAAAGACTTGTGATACTGCGACTTTACTGCTATTTACACATGTTCTTTTTTTAACAGGACTTTTTATTAAAAAAAAAAAATCAAATCAAGACAGATGTTTATAATGGTCTATAATGAATAACCAGCGGACCCGTAAAAATCACTTTCAACTGTCTTTCATTTCAACATTGTCGTTTGTAATAAATCACCTTCTCTAGCGTACAAAGAGTTCTTTGTTCTGGTTCGTATTTCTTTTCTTCTGGCTTTATTTTTCACATCTTTGTTTCTACGTGTATTTTATCTTGCTTATTTGACTTTATTTTTCCAGGAGATAATGTTTTTTACTTTTTTAAATTTCCAAGTCTCGATTAATACGACCCACGTGGATTTTTAAGAGGACGGAGTTAATTTTCCTTGGCTAGTCGATTGTAAGAATTCATTTTATCGTATTTTCTTTTGTTTTATATATATATATATATATTGTGTGTGTGGTTTATTTATCTATTATATATATATATATATATATATATATCAGATACACATCGATCAAAGCAATAAAATCTGTACCATAAGATAGCCTGTTTTCACTGTCGATCTCAGTCACGTGACTAAAAACATGGCGTATGTATTTACTTTAATAATCTCATTAACTGGAAATACACTTTCCGCTTATCTTTTTAAATAAATTTAATCTCTTTTTGTCTTTTATATGCAGATCGAAAAAATCCATTTATAAATAGCATACTCTTCTGTACTGCAATACAATATTGCTTCTTTTACGCTTGAGGCACAAATTCTCTATACAAGATGACTTGAGAAAATTGACCCTTACATTCTGAACAGATAACTCGAGATTTCATTTCCCTTTATCCGCCGTGAAAAATGTTTTAATCTAATTTTAGACACACTTCTGTGTAAAATGTTTATATAACAAACTAGCGGTATGTTTTTGTTTTTTTATATTCTATATTTAATTTTAATTTATTCTGTAAACTTCGTTTAGCAAACTGTTGCAAATATTTTTTGCTTTTTAAAACTCGATGTTGGAAAATTTAATGAACACTTGTTTTTAATGTTGACTTCGAATTTGAACCAATGAATGTAAATTTAGAATATTAAACTCCATTTTTAATGGAAAAAAGTACTATAAAAAAAAAAGGATTTTAAAAAAATTTTATCAACAAAATTCCATCTTGAAGAATTTGACGATAAAACAGTTCAAATTTGGAGCATTTTCTTCATGTTTATTTTGTTTTTTTTAATACTCGGGGGGAAATAAAGTTTATTTTACTAACTAAAAAGTAAACTTAACTTCAACTTCATTTGCACTTAAATGTAAGGGAGATAATCAGCATTTATGTAAGAATAGTTTGAAAGTCGATACTTCTAAAAATATGGAAGCTAAAAAAACGAAAAATACCCAAATCAAAGCAAATTTGATTATTTACAGATTGCATCCTGAAAACTGGAAGATTTTTTTTTTTTTTTTTTTTTACGGGGGATAATTTTACATTTTGAAATCCTTCATTAAAGGATTTAAAAAGATTTTAAAAATATGAATTAAAATTAAGTACCTCCGTTTTTGTTTTTTTTTGCGGGAAAACAAGCATAGCGTAATAAAAAAACTTAACGAAAAATAAAGTTTTATCGTCAAAACAAAATGTTTGTTATTAAGATGAAAGATCAAAGTATTTTTTCTAGGTATTTCCTGAAAGGAAAGAATGCCTTCATTTCTAAGCGAAATTAGTTGGTGTAAATAAATGATTATAAAAAAAATTTTCTGGGTATATATGAAAAAATAGTTAAAATTGCTATTCCTGAACACTGGAAACCAGGATTTTTTTTTTTTTTTTGTTAATCAGCGATAAGGAAAACTTGAAATTACGCCAAAATTAACTTTGACATTGCTGGGTCAGAGGCCAGCCAGCCGACAATACCGCGCTGTCATCACTTTTTTTTTTTTTTTATACACCTTTTGAGCAGGGTGATGACAGACAGCAACACTTACGGATAGAACCGAAAACAGTTTGTTTGGAATAAGAAATTCACATAAAAATTGAAATAATGATTACACTGAAAAGTGTAAACTGTAAAACAACTTTTGCTGCAACAACACAAGATGGGATTCAATTGTGTGATGATCATCTCATCTTGTGCCAATTGAGCAACTGCCTGGTGGGGCTGCAGAAGATTACAGGAAGCATATCTCTGACAGTATTATGAAATTGGCAGAAGTACAGCCGGCAGTATCTGATTTGAATGTTATTGAAATGTATAAAAAATTAATTTAAAAAAATAAAGTGCTGTTTGACTGATTGGGCTCCAGACAACCACTTGACTGTAGAAAAAAAGAGTGGAATTAAAAGAATTAAACTGTAATGTGCATCCCCTGGAAGCTGTTTCTTCTAGAATAAAGAAGGAACTGCATGTGTATGAACAGAAGGCAGATTCAAGCATGGCAACTTATTGTGGCATTTAATTCTTTAAGATATAGTGAGAAATATCACCATGTATTGTTAATAAGAGATTTCATTACGGACCAAGAAGTGCTATTGTCTGCCATACCAAGATTCCTGGGGAACCAAATGCACATCATTTTTCAATTAGGTGGGATTTACTTCAGTATTTTAAAAAAGTACTTGGATTAATAGGCAAAATGTTTTTGGGACCACGGATGACCATTTTTTTTTTTTTACACAAATTTAAACGAAGCACCAAACCCAAAGGACACCATGCAAATAGTGAAGGCCATAATTGCTGAAATGAAACAGTTTGTGAACTCAAAAAATATATTTCAAGCGGAAAGAGACTTTGGAAATATGTTATCTGAAGAAGATCTAATTCTTTGTTGCCCTACCTAATCTTTGCCTATTTCGGGAAATGATGACTGCTTGCATAAAAGAGACAATAGAAGTACTTGAAAGGCAGTATAGAAAGTCCTTTAATACAGTTGAGACATCTACAGAATCAGTATTAGCTTCTGTACGCAGCCATACAATGGAAATTGAAAGTGTAATTGGGGAATACTGTGAGAAAAAAATATCAATAAATTCATATGTCTCCAGCATTAGTAATATTATAAAAGCCAAAAGGAATAATCTTTGGGATTTTATCAATAAGCTGGATGACAATGTATTTGAAAAATATATGAATTTGGCGGTAAAGTATGGTATTGATGTAGTTGTCCAACGCAAAACATTTACTGAAATTGTAAATGTGGAAATTTTGCATTGAATACAAGGGGGAAAAAAAGAAGGGAAGTATATAAAGGGCTAAGTAGGATAAGCCAAAGTAGCGATGGAATTAAGGCAGAATTTGACAATCTTGATCTAAACAATGCAAATATAGAAAACATTCACAAAATATTGAATGAGGATTTAGTTAGTCACAGAAATTTTACATTTTTCTTTTTGTTCTAAACAAATCACCAGAATCTTTTTCTTTTTTTTTTTTTTTTTTTTTAATCAAAAAGCCTACACATTCCTAGAGGTTCAAAATGCGACAAAAATCCATTGGTAATTTTCAATTATATGACTGCCAAGGGTTAAAAAAAATTGACACCCGGCCACGGAAATCTTTAGTAAAAGGCAAAAGATTTATATGCAATTCCTGACCACCAGAAGCCAAAAGTTTTTTTTTTTTTTTTTTTTTTCAAAAAAATAGCAGCGATAAGGAAAATTAAACCTAATTGACTTTGACATCTGGGTCAAAGGTCAGCCAGCCAGCAATAAACCTTAGAACAAGTAATAAAACCCACCACTCCCAGATAAAAGCAAAGAGTGAAAAAAAAAGGGCTCAACATTACTAGGGCTTGATATAACCTATGTTTAAACAATGGCTTGATGAGTTTTGTTTTGTTTTTAACACCCCGTGACCCGGGTGATGACAACAACACTTAACAGATGACATTGTTTTTTTTTGTTTTTTTGCTTCATATCTTTCGTATTTCCCATCGCCAGGCCATTTAGCCGTTTCTTTTATTCAATGATGTTCATGCCAAATGAAAAAGAAAGGAATGAATTTTGAATGATGTTATTTTGAAGCGAAAATAAATATTTTTTCATAAAAAAACGGTGATTTTTCTCAGAAAATTGGGCATAATTTCTTAATGCTAACCGCTGAGTGACATTTTCCACAGCTAAATTGAAGATTAATTACCAGTGAATAATTCCATGTGCAAACAATAGCCGTCATATAACGTCGCCCTAAAAGGTCCAGAAGTTTACTGATTGATCGAAAACCTGTTGCACATAATTGTATTTTTCACGGTTAATTTCCATTATTTCATCTTGATATTATCATTTTCGGACAGCCAAGTCATCAAGGATTCAGGAAAACACTTTGGCATAGGTTTTCTTTAAGAACTTTACATTCTATGAGGTGTTTAAAATGTTACTGATGAATGAGATTTTTTTGCCGAATATTTCGTTAACGCACCATGTTGGATTTTTCTATATGACAAAAACAAGGCTTTTAAACAGCCGTGACGTCCTGAGTAGGACATTAAAATTACATAAAGCAGCAAGTTGCTATCTAACGACACACAAGTTCTTTTCATCGCCTGATGAAGTTAAAATTTTCAGTGCCAATTTCTATGGAGCTTTTCCAAGTAATTAAATGTAGAACAGTAGCTAACTTTGCCAGTGATCATTGTGAATTCAAACTATTTCCTACATGTGCCTATGTCACTTCATGTGAAGTTTTTCATGTTATTTGTGAACAAGTTACAAATTTCCAGTATTCCCACTGAGTCCTTGGTCCATTCTGCCTGCAGATCATAATCATTCCTTAAGTGTTGTTGTCATCACTCTGCTCAGAAGATGTTAAAAAAACAATGATACATCAAGCCATTGTTCAAACATAGCTTTAAAAAAAAAAATAAATAAATAAATATGATTTTTTACAAGGTGATGACAGCTCGGTATTGTTGGCTGGCTGGCCTTTGACCCAGCAATGTCAAAGTCAAT